ACACACACGCAGAGGGTCAGGTCTGCGGCGGCCTGGGGTCGACGCCGTGCCTCGACATCCTGGATGAAGGCCGTTGTTCGCGGGGCTATCTTCGGATGGCCTTCCGCGGCCGACGTGGCCTCGACGACCTCGACGACCTCGGCCGGGCGGGGGGTTGCCGCGGCGGCTCGTTCAGGCCGTGGTCCAGGCCGTGGTCCAGGCCGTGGTCCAGGCCGTGGTCCAGGCCGTAGTCGAGGCCGTGGTCCAGGCCGTGGTCCAGGCCGTGGTCGAGGCCGTGGTCGAGGCCGTGGTCCAGGCCGTGGTCCAGGCCGTGGTCGAGGCCGTGGTCCAGGCCGTGGTCCAGGCCGTGGTCCAGGCCGTGGTCGAGGCCGTGGTCCAGGCCGTGGTCCAGGCCGTGGTCCAGGCCGTGGTCCAGGCCGTGGTCCAGGCCGTGGTCCATGCCGTGGTCCATGCCGTGGTCCAGGCCGTGGTCCAGGCCGTGGCCGAGGCCGGCGGCTCCGCGGTTTTCAGTCCCTGGCTGCGTTTTTCTCGCATTGGCGGTTGGCGGTCGCCGAGGCGGTCGCCCTGGCGGCGCCCGGCCCGCTTTTCATTTCCGGCGACAACCTGCGAAAAACGCAAAAACGCATAGTTACGTCGCGACAATTACGACGCGGAAATTACCGTCGGGGCGCCGCGCAGGGGGCCGGAGGGGAGGGGAGAGGAGGGGAGGGGAGCGGAGGGAAGGGGAGGGTGCGAGCACGAGGGGAGGGTGGCCGTGGAGATAGGCCCCCTGGCTACCCGTGCACCGGAAGGCGGAAGGCCACCTCACGTCGACGAGGACGAGGGCCTCCCGGGGGTGGGACTGGAACGACCGTGCCGCCAAGACGACGACCAGGCCCTTGGCCAGGCCGCCCCGGAGAGGTCGACGTCGTGCGGGCTTATCTGGAGCGGTCCAGATTGACGCACTCCACGGCCTCGGCATGGCCTCGGCAGCATGGCCTCGGCCCTGGGACGGCCTGCAGGACCCCCGGGGCAGTGGCAGTGGCAGGCCGGCGGGCCGCGCGGGGAGGGCGAGGCGGGGTGCCTGCCGCTCAGCGCCCAGGGCGCTTGCCGCGCTCCCCGGGCGCGCCCGGATTCGGGCACGGCGTGGCGCGGCACGGCACGGCACGGCACGGCACGGCACGGCACGGCATGGCATGGCAGGAAGCGTGGTAATGAGTCTTCCATGAGGTAATGAATTTTTCGGCGACGCTGGCGCGCTGGCGTTGTCGGGGCAGGCGGGGCTGGCGAGGCAGCCGAGAGGCAGCGCGTGGCGGCGGCACGGATCATCCTGGCCGTAATCTCCATGCAGCATCCCTGCACCTGGTGCTGCACTGTGTGCTGCAGGCCGCGCAGGCCGCTGGCCAGGCCGCGTCGTGCAGCGCCTTCATTAGCTCGCCGGTCATTAGGCATGAGTCGGCCGCGCGCCGCCACGCCGCCAGAGCGCGGCACCAACCAGTGGCACGCCCGAGGGGGCAAAAACTCGCGCAATCATGTGTACACGGCCCCCGAAATCACACGCGAATCATTGAGAATCACGCGAAATCAAGCAATCCGAAATCAGCCAAAATCACTAAAATCGACCGAAATTAGGCAGAATCACACGAAACCAGGCCAAATCAGTCCGAAATCATTTCTTTCCGAACACAATCACACGCAATCACGCTCAACATCACCCTGGTGCGTCGCGAAATAAGGCAAAATCAGCCATGGAATCAATTAAAACCATGCGCAATCATTGCGTTTTCCGAATCATGTGTACACGAAAATCCCGAGTTTTTGCCCCCTCGGGCACGCCGGCACGCCAGTGGCGCCCACAGTGCACTGAGCACTGCACCGAGGTCGCGCTCGGAAGGAAAGTGTGTTGTACACTTGTCTCCGGATGCCCCCGGCGGCGGCTCGCTGCACCGCGCAGAGGTGACATGAAGGAGTGACGCCTGGGTGCTGCCGTGCCGCCGTGCGTCGCTACCGCCGTGTTCAATACTTTTACGGCCGACGGGAACCTCGTGACCTTCCTTCGGTCCTCGTCCGCGGTCGAAGCCTCGGCGCTGGCGGCACGATTGATGAACGGAACGGTCCTCGAGACGGCGCGGCACGGCGTCCTCCGCGCCGTCTTGGAGTGCGCGGGGGTGGCGGTGGCGGAGGGCGCACGGCGAGCACGGCGCGCGGGGGTGGCGCGTTGATCTAGTCCCACGTGGCGCCGCGTCGCTGCGTGGCGGCGTGGCGCGCGGGGGTGGAAACGACGCAGGGCGACGCAGGGCGGTCCCCAACGAGGGGGAAAGTGTGAGGCAAGCTAAAAAAGGAAAAAAGAGGAGAGGGACAGAAAAGAAGTCTTGATGAGGCGGCGTTAAAGAAGGGGTGTCGTAACCGAATACGCCGTCGTCGTCCTCCGTCCTCCCCTCCGGCCCTCCGGTCGCTGGCTCTGCTTCTGCTGGCTCCGGCGTCGCGGCCTCCCCGTCCTCGCGGCGACTCTGCGACGCCGTGGCCGCCGTGGCCGCCGTGCTGCCCGCGCCGCGCGGGGGCTTTGATTGTCATCGTGCCGCCCTCCCCCACCTCGCCGTCCTCCCCGTCGTCCTCCCCGTCGTCCTTCCCGCTGCTCTTTTACCGACTGATAAGACGCGCGGCTTGGCGCATTTTTCCTTGGCGTGGACTTCGGGGCGCTGGCGAGGCTGGCGAGCAGTCCGGAGCACGTCGCGTCCTCCTCCCGCCGCCTCTTCACCTTCTAATAATATTAACTGTATCTGTGTAATCTGGGGCCCGGGCCGCTTCACCTGTGCGTTTGCAAGGCCGCCTCTTATTTCTGACAGCCGAAAAAATCGGATCGAGGACGAGTTCAGGCGGTCCGGGCTGATACTGCAACCCAATTGGCGGTGTATCGGCGTACGTAATCCGGTTGCCGGCGTGGCGGTCAGCAACCCGTTGAATGGGGAGTAGGCGTCTCGTGTCCTGTCCGCGCGTGCGGCCAGTGCGGGCTTACTCGCTTATCTAGCGGGCCCGTTATCGAACTGCAGGCGCTCTCTCTCTCTCTCTCTCTCTCTCTCTCTCTCTCTCTCTCTCTCTCTCTCTCTCTCTCTCTCTCTCGCACTCACACGGCGTCCCGCATGAGAGAGAGAGAGAGAGAGAGAGAGAGAGAGAGGGAGAGAGAGAGGGGGAGAGAGAGAGGGGGGGAGAGAGAGAGAGAGAGAGAGAGAGCGGCGCAACCGCCGGTCGGTTGGAATCAGTCGGCTGTTCCTAAGACACTACCTGTGAGCGTGGACACCGAGTGAGCGCCAAAGTGCCCCTTGGCTCGTACTCGAACCTACTCGAACACGAACTCTGCCCCGTGGTGCGGTAGGCGTTCGCGGTGGTCAGCGAGGCCGAGGCGCTGTGATGCGGGCAGGGCAGGGCGGGGCGGGGCAGGGCGGGGCGGGGCAGGGCAGGTCGCGGAGCGCAAGGCGCAGCGGGTCAATCGGTTATTGTAGATCGATTTACCCACAAACCGCATTGTTATGGAGCCAGGCAGGCGAAGGAAGACCAAGGAAGACGCGCGGTCCGGGGTGTGCTCCACTTCCCTCCTCACGCCCCAAACCTTTTTTTTATCCCCCGCGCGATTCCTTTGCTTTCCGTTTTTTATTCGCACACGATCATTGTTATACAGAAGGATGCGATATCTTTGCGGTGCGGCGCCGCGATGTCGATGCGGCCAACACACTGCCAACACGGCGTACAAGTGTGCCGGCGAGGTCGGTGTGTGGGGACGCGATTCTGTGTATTCGGCGAGGACTTTGGCAGGGACCTGCAAGCGGTCCATGAGGACCCGTGGCGGTCGCCGGCCAAGGGCTCTGCCCTGGCTGGCTCGGCCGTGTCGCTAAGGAAGACTACGGGCGGCGGCGCGACGATGCTGTCTGTCTGTGTCGCTAGGAGGACAGATTACGCTGGCCGTCATGGCCGAGTGAATCAGCTTTTGACGCCCTCGCGGCGCGACGCGGCGCCTCGAATGAATGTCAGGTACCCTTCAGGAACAGGTGAGCGGCTCTCCCTCGGAGGCGTGATGCCTGCGTGCGAGCGCCCCAATCTTATCGCCAAGAGGGCCTCCAAGGCGCGGCGCCGGACCGTCGGACCTCGACCGCCAGGACGTCAAGCGTCGGCGCGTGCAGGCGGCCGCCAAGCGTCATGCGAACGCGTCATGCGCACTTCGTGGACGCGGCGCCGACGTTCTGCGAAAAGTGGCCCCGATTCCGAGAATGAGTGAGAGAGAAAGAGCGCCGCCGAAAGGGAGAGGGAGGCGGCGGTTGCGACAGCGAGGCGCCAAGTTCAAGTTCGAGCGAGGCCGCGCGGTGGCCGACGCTCGCGGACACGACGCCGTCGTCGTCGCCACGCCACGCCGCGGACGTCGCGGACTGCAAGGCGTTGCTACGCACGCACACACACGCACAGACTTTTTCCTTCCTCTTTTTCTCAGCCCCATCCCTCTCGCTCACACCTTCCCCTCCTGTCTTATCTGCTTCCTCCCCCTCCCCTTCCTCCCTGGCTCAGGGGTGAAGGAGGGAGATGGCACGGCAGGCACGGCATGCCGTAACAAGCAGCAGCACCGCTTGACGCCGTGCTCGCTGCTCGCCTCCGTGCTCGCCGTGCTCCACGACTCCCGGACCTCTCCGCGCCGCCGGCCCCGCGCCCGCGCCGGGCTGCTGCTGTAGCCGCGGCGCGGCGGCAAGGCAGGCTCTCCGTCTCTCTCCCGCCGCTCTCTCCTCTCTCTCCCTCCTCTCCTCTCCGGGCTCGGCGGGCCGCGGCCGGGCCGTGGCGAGCGCAGCCTGGCCGCGAGCCCCCCGCGCCGCGCCGCCCTCCCCCTCGCCCCGGCCGGCGGCCCGAGAGCCACCCCCCACCACAACCACCACCGCCGCCGGGCTCCGCGCCGCCCCCCTCCCTTCCCCGCCGGGCTCCCCGCGCACTTCCCCTCAAACACTTGGCTCCGTGCTTTTTTTTACTGGCCGTGTTAGGCAGTGTGCCAGCGGACGCAGAAGTGTTAACATCATTTCTTTCTCCATGCGCGTTTTTTGGCCGCTGCGGCTCCGATCACGATCGCTCGCCGCCGAACTCGGTCGCTGAAGACCTCCAGGCCGGTGTAGGGCCCAGTGCGTGTGTGCGTGTGCGTGTTGTGCCGTGTAGACCTGTTGGCAACCAGTGCAGTGGCAGACTGGCACAGACCGGCAGTGTCCGCCATGCAGACCAGCTGATCGGCTCGGTCTGCGCACGTCCTCCGTGCTCCGTGCTCCACGGCCGCCGTCGGCTGAGCGCCGCGACGCCCTAGCGGCGTCTTCCTCTCGTCCAAACTGACATCCGCCGTCGCCGAGCTGGGGACCCTCAGGCTCGCCTTCCCCGCCGGGATGGAAGCGAGCGCCCTCGAGTACAGCCGGGGCGGGGGCGGCCGCGGGACGCTGGACTTCCAGCACTCGCCGCTGGGCGGCTCGGTGGCTGACTGCCCGCCCGGGCCTCAGGGGCCGCACCAGACCGAGTTCAAGCAGTTCAAGCAGGAGTACGGCCACCACAATGGCCACCCGCAGGCCGCCATGGACCACGACGACATCAAGAGCTGCTACTCCAGCACGCCCTCCACGCCGCCCACCCCCATGGCCGAAGTGGAGTCCCTACCCGCGCCGACAAAGGTAACCATCGGGGGAGTGCCAAGCGGAGTGCTCCAGAGTGCGGCGACGCGACGCGGTGGCCGCACCACGTGCGGCGCCACGTGTTCGATGGCGTTCAATCCGCGTGCAGTCGTGGTTCAATGTGCTCGATTCAGCCCCAGCCGGCGCCCCGGACTTACGGACTGTCCCTTGGATGGGCGACGCTGGCGGCAAAGTCGCGGTCTGAGAGAACGCGAGTGCGAGACGCCGCGCGACGCGTGTGTAAGGCAGAGAGGGGTGGAAGACGCGTCGCGCCGCCCAAGGAAGTGTTGTGCCGGCCCGGGGCGCCCGGGGCCCGGGGGGTGGCGTTACGTTCCGCGGCCCACGCGGCGCACGGCGTCGCGACGCCAGTGTACCTGTGGTGAAGACGCGCGGGGGGGCGCCGCGACGTCTGGGGCTCTGAGGCGGTCTTCCACGTCGGCTAGCAAGCTGCGGGCCCGCCCCATGGCATGGCCCTTGGCAAGGCCCATGGACCGTACGAACCTGGAACAATGGGCGATGCGTGTTTGGAACGAACCCCTGCAAGGCACTGCAAGGCACACAGCCTCCAGCTGTGCCCAACGAATTTCTTGTCTAATCTCTTTGATTTTCGCTTGAGTGGCCCGCCGACGACCCGCCGCTGCTGCGCGCTGCGCCGTCGCTGCGGTCCAGCAGGGGATGCTGCCGCGATGCTGCAGCGGGGAACCTGGGCCGCGCCGTGCACGCCGGGCTGGCTCCACCGTTCCCTCGCGTGCGTCGCCGCGCGTCACCTTTCCCTGGACTCGAAGCCGCGCCGGCACTGATAGTCAAACTGGGGCTTCCGCCAAAAAAGCGGGTGGGCCGAGAGGCCGAAAGGGACCGCCAAACCGAAATTGCCTACAATGCGAGCGCCGCGATACCGGGTGCGATACCAGCGATACGCGGTGCCCGGCCAGCGTGACCTGTAATGAAGGCCCGCCGACAGCCGTCGCTCTGTCTCTCTCGCACCTACACGGGACGACCCATGAGTGCGAGGGAGGCAGAGCGACGAAACCGACTCTCGGAATCGGTCTGCGGGAGCGGCGTGCGAAGCGGAGAGCAGACAGTGTGCAACATTGTGACTTTGGTCACGTTATCGGGCGGCACGCTGGCGCTGGGCACGCCAGCCTCGCGTTTCGCTGCCGAACCCTGGACGGGGTCCCTGGACGGGGTCCCTGGACGGGGTCCCTGGACGGGGTCCCTGGACGGGGTCCCTGGACGGGGTCCCTGGACGGGGTCCCTGGACGGGGTCCCTGGACGGGGTCCCTGGACGGGGTCCCTGGACGGGGTCCCTGGACGGGGTCCCTGGACGGGGTCCCTGGACGGGGTCCCTGGACGGGGTCCCTGGACGGGGTCCCTGGACGGGGTCCCTGGACGGGGTCCCTGGACTCCCGGACCACGTGACGGGGCGTGTGTGGGCTTGCGGCGGCATGAATGGGGCGCGGGCCGCAGCCGCCAGGCGGGGTGGGCGGTGGGCCTTGGGCCTGGGCCTTGGGCCCCCCAGAGACAGACGGCTGCGCAGGCGGGGGCCGACCCTCCCGACCCACGCCGGCACCCTGTCTTGAGGCCCCGCGGCGCCCCCCGCACCGGCAGCAATCGGGCTGATGTCGAACTGTGCTCCGTCTCTCTCGCACCCGTGGGTGATTCCCCGTTCGTTCTTTGCGCCGATGCCATTCCATCCCATCCTTGTGCTTTCGCTGCTTTCGCGTTGCGTGGCCGCGGCAGTGCCGCGCTCCTGGCGCGTGTATCCGTGTCGCTCAGAGTCAAGGATCGTCACCCCGGCGCGCTCTACCGGCCGGCCCGGGAACTGAAGGCTGCGCGCGCGCGCCCCGCGCCGCGGCGGAAAAAAAAATCTTTAACATGCCCGTTCCGTTGCCCCCACTCCCCCACCCCTCGGGCCGCCGCGGGGCCTTACTCCGGTGGGGCAGGGCCAGCAGGGCCGGCAGGGCCGCGGCGGGGCGGCAGGGCCACCGCGACGCCCCTCTCTTTTTACCTCGGCCACCCCGGCACGGCACGGCGGCCACCCCCGCCGCGTCGCCGCGTCCCGCCGCACGCCGTGTTTACACACGGAGGGACGCCGCCGGGACGCCGGGCTGGAGTCTGCCGGCTCCGGGGCGCGCTGCGCGCTGGAGGCTCCAGAGCGGTCCAGGCAGCTGGGGGCACTGCCGGAGGCGCTGCTGGAGGCACGAGGAACACGACACCGCCGCGCCGCGGCCACGCCGCCCCGCTGACTGACAGACGCCAAAGTGCGCGCTGACGGCGGCCCGGCTGCCGCTGCAGCGGCGCGGGGCCAAAAACGGAAGACACGTCGGCGGCGCGCGCGTTAATTTTTGAACCGCGCTGCGCTGCGGACTGCGCCGCACACTGCACTGCACGGCGCAGCGCGGCGCAGACCGGGCAGCAATCTTGTTTTTAATTGTTTCGTCGTTGTTTCGCCGCCGTTGCCGTTCTGCTCGTTTTGCTGGCCTGGAGGGCTGCTTCGCTGCTCCGCTGCTTGATTGGCTCACACGGCAGTAACGCGTCGTTCGAATGGAACGCGCTGCCTCGCTCCTCGCCGCCTCGCTGCCCTAGCCTGTTTAGTACCCGAGGGAGGACGGCGACCGGGCCGCGCATGGCCGCGCCGTGGGGCTGGAGGGCTGCGCGCTGCGCGGGCTGGAGGCTGCGGGGCTGGACCGATGCAGCTTGCTGCTGATGCTGCCTGTTTTTTCTATCTTTTATTTTCGCTCCCTCCCCCTGTGTGATAATGGTCCGGGGTGGCGCGGCTCGCTTTTTTCCGTTTTATTGTGTGGACACGGTGGCGTCCACTGGCATTCGTGCTTGACGCGGCGAGCGCGGCGCAGTGGCGGCCCCGGCCTAGTGCACGGCCAGCACGGCCTGCAGGGGCGTGGCGGGGAGGCTCGCGTGGGGAGAGTGACCGATGAGTCCCCGGGCCATGTACCGCGGGCTGAGGCTCATTCCGAGCAGTGCTTCGTCGCTCTGTCTCGCTCCCACCCCTGCGGCGCGCACCGTGAGTGCGAGGGAGACAGCGCGACGAGGGCGCCGTTCGGAACCAGCCCGCGGGCCGCGGGGTGCGTCCCGAAAACGGCGAATGTACTTAATTGCGCGGGGGCCGCAGTCAAGCCACTCTGGGCCGGCCGACGGGGTGCCGGGGTCGCCGCCAAGCCGCCACGGGCCGGGCAGGCCTCTGGCACGGCCTCTAGGCCGGGCAGGCCTCTGGCACGGCCTCTGGCACGGCCTCTAGGCCGGGCGGCATCGCGGAGATGGTTTTTACTGATTGCGGGCGATGCCAAAAGACTCCCCCGCACCAGCGGCGCGCGGCACAGCCGTGCCCTGGGCTTGGCCGACTGGAGAGGGTGGAGCCGCCTTGGCCGTCAGCAGGGCGCCGCCGTGTGTTAATTTCACGGTTTCCGAAAAAGAGAGAAATATAATAATGCGAGCGAGGCAAGGCTGTCGGCGTGATGCAGCAGTCTCCGTCGCAGAGGCACGCCGTCGTCGTCGTCGGCCAGGGTAACCCTAAGGTGACCCGGCCGCGGATTGACTGGCTTCCCGGCGACATGTCGGCGCGGTGCTCGCGGTGCTCGCGGTGCGCGGCGCGAACGCCGGCCCGCCGGTTAATTGTCTTTTTGTCGCATTAATTAAGGGGGTGGGGGGACACCTCTGGGCCATGAAATAAGTTGCCGCCGGTGGACGCGCGCCGCCTGCCTCCGCCGCGCGCGTGTGCGCAAGCGGTGCTCTACGCGCGCAAGCGGTGACACGACGTTTAGATTATTTTTTCGGGTGCTTTTTCTGACCTGTAACAAAAAAGACGCGATTTTTAGCGCCGATTGAAAAGCCAACTGGAGATAAAATCTATTTCGCGCGGGCCCAAATTATTTCCAGCGCGGAGGAATGATGGATTGTGTGTCGATGCGGTGCCCCGTCGCGATTGTCACTTATTCTCCACGCGGCGACGCGACGCGACGCGACGCTCGGCGGACGGGCGGCTGGCTCTAAACCGTGTCATTTCATCGCTCATGGCCCGGAGGCTCGGCGACGCCGGCACCGCGCGGCTCTACGCGGCTCCTGTGGGACCGCCTGCCTCCCCGGCCCGCCGCGCCGCCGCGCCCGCCGAGGCCCGGCTCCAGGTAACGCATTCCGAGGCCGGATCATTTTCGGCTCGCTTGCTTTCGCCAGCCCGCGCAGCCACGGAGCGGCCCGGATTCGAGTGCTGACCCGGGAGCCCCGGGTTCGAATACGGCTGGCGCCCCGGGGGAGTGCTTTTCTGGTGTGCTGCGCGACGTGCAGCGCGCGGCGTTCACTGACCTGTGACGGGCACACTGCTGGGCACCTGTTCCCTGACCTCGCCGGCAGCATCGCGGCCATTCGGCATGCCTGGAGGCTGATGCTCAAGTCTGTTGTCGCTCCGTCTCTCTCGCACTCGCGGGCCGTTCCGTATGCGTGCGAGAGCGACGGCAGAACCGTTCGGAATCGCCTGCCGCAGGCGGGGCCATGGCCAGCCATGGCCGGGCCGATAACGCGCAGTGTGTCGTCTGCTGCGCCCGAGCCTCCAGCCGCGCTGCCTCGCTGCGCTGCCCTGAGCGAGCAGGGCGACCAGGGCCAGCCGGGGCCAGCAGCCACCTGGGACCGGGGAGTTGCGCGAGGGGAGTGCTGGCGGGGCCAGGGCAGCCAGGGCAGAGGGCTGGAGGCACGGCCAGGCACGGCCTCGGACGGGAGGTATGCCGGCATCCCGATGACAAGGTGGTGCGCTATCGGAGATGGAGTGACGCATTGTCTGGCCTGCTCTTATTTTAGGATCAATGGTCAATCACGCAAGACCAGCGACAGCGGGGCGGCCGCGGCCCGGGCCTACCTGCCCCCTCCCACGCCCCATCGCGCTCCTCTGCCGGCCGCCGCGCCGCCCCGCCGCCCCCACCGGCCGCCGCCATTGGCTGGCGCGGCTGGCGCTCGGAGAGCGAGAGAGAGCGGCAGCGAGAGGCCGCGCCGAGCCAATCGGATTAATCGAGCCCCCGCGCGCGCCTACAGCCTTCACTACTGCGATTTGAGAAGGGGGGGAGGGCGTAAACAATGCAGCCGGACGGCACTCTCCGGCACTCGGGACTGGCTGCGACGCTGCGACCGGCCTAATTTATGCAGAGGGCTTGACCGCCACACTGCGAGCCGCGCCGCCGCGCGGACAGCTGCACGCCGACGGTGTGGTGACGGCGTGCAGTGCCCATGGCAGTGCCCATGGCAGTGCCGCCCCTGCTTTGTCTTAGCGGCGCGGCTCAGCAAATCGGAGCACGGCGTGTGTGTACATGTGTGTGTGTGCGTGTGTTATTACCGCCTGTCAGAACATCTCTTTCACCGGGCCGGGGAGGAGCAGGAGGAGTGCCTGATTCACCAGGTAGCCGCCGCCCCGCCCCGCCGCCTATATCCTCAATGCGGCCGGCGGCGCGCTGCGGCCGTGACAATCGAGGCCGTCTTCTCTCCTATTCTCCTCTATCCTTTCCCCCGCCGCGTGCGAAAGGGTTAAAGGGTGCGGCGGGCGCGTGCCGCATTGCCCCGCACCGCCCCGCTTGCATCGCATTGATTTTATTGTTATTATAGATCTGTGGAGAGCCGGCCGATGTGCCGATAGTACAGTGTATAGTCGGGTGATGGCTTGTTTTCACCTGTCGGCCTTTGTGCTCCGTTTTCACCTGTCCGCCACACCCCTTCCCTTTGGCGGCACGGCGGCGCGTTTAACGGCGCCGCGCCTTGCCATTTTTTCGGCACTGTTCTTTTCTTTTGCGGTTCAAATTTGGCTAAATTGAATGTGGCTGCCGCTGGCCTGTGCGAGGCCCTGCGCGCTCGCTGCGGCGCTGCGGCTCGCTACCGCCGAGTCAACAGCAGAGGAACGTGATTCAAATAGTGGTGCGGTGTCCTCCCTCGTCCGCGGCGGCGGCGGCTCTCCGACCACAGCCGGGCCTCGAGCCGGGCACGGCCAGCCTCAGCCAGCCTCGGCCTCGGCGTGCACGGACGCGCCGCGTGACGTGTTTTACGGACGCGGCGGCACGGCGTTGAGCAACCCCTGCCCCGCCTCGGTGTGCCCGGCCTTGCCCCGACGGTGTGCCGCCGCCAAAGTGACACCGTGGCTTTATCCTGCTGTCGCGCTTCTGTCGCTCTGTCTCAGTGGCGTCGGAAGCACCAGGTCGGAGGGACGCTGACCCCCCAGTTTTCGAGCTGCCCCCGGTCAGCCGGTCAGTCCCCTGCGAAGTAGGCAACCTGCAATACCCCCCACCAACTTTTTTGACGTTCCGACACGCCTGTCTCTCTTGCACGCATAGGGCGTCCCTTTCAGGTGCGAGAGAGCCTGGAGTCAACCCACAGTGATTCCAAGAGTTGCCTTCGTCATCTCTCGCGCACCTAAAAGGGGCGCCCCGTGAGCGCGAGAGAGACAGAGTGACGAAAACGACTCTCGGAATGAGTCTGCGGGAGCGGGACGCACGGAGGCACCCATCACTCGCCGCTCAGGCCCGTTTCACGCACTCGCTTGGAGCTCTACGAGCTTCGCGGCTGTTTTTTGCAGTGCGTAGTTCCTGAACGTGGATGTGGCGCGAATCGCGCCACGGCTCGGGCCGCCGCCCCGCCGCCGCCAACATCTGCCCATGCCCGTGCGGCGCGGCGGCGCGGCGGCGGCGTCGCGCCGTGATGGCCGCGGACACGCCGGTGGCGCACAGTGGGCCAGAAGACCGGTGGAGGCGGCCGAAACTCTAGACGCGTTCTGAGCTCCAGAGTCGCTAAATGGGACGCGAACCGAACGTGTGACCCCACCAACGGATTGCTCTCCGAACGAGGAATCCATTGGTGGGGTCACACATTCGGTTCGAGGCCTGCTTAGCGACTCTGGAGCTCAAACCGCGTCTAGTGTTTTGTCCGCCTCCACCGGCCCACCGTGTGGCGGTGCGACGGGGGCACCCTCGCCTCGACGGCCGCGACACGCCCAGCAGCGCAACGCAGCGTGCGGCCCAGCGTCGTAAAAAAAGAAATGGAAAGAAAATAAATTAGGATAAGTAGCTGTGCCAAACGTATACGGGATCCGTTTAGCACGGCCCGCGCCGCGACGCCGCGACGGCGTGTGTCACCTTGGTGGAGCGTCGGAGCCAGAAAGAAATGGACGTCTCTTGAAAAAGTGAGAGAGAGAGAGAGAGAGAGAGAGAGAGAGAGAGAGAGAGAGAGAGAGAGAGAGAGAGAGAGAGAGAGAGAGAGAGAGAGAGAGAGAGAAAGAGAGAGAGAGACGGGCTACCGCTACCGTCGGCCCGTATTTGCCGGGAGGTGGCGGCGGGCGGCACCCTTATCAACGGGCACGTGTGCAGCCGCTCGCCAAGTAGCCGCGGTGACGTCCGGACACTGCCGTCCGGACCATCGCATGTCTGTCTGTCTGTCTGTCTGTCTGCCTGGCCGTCTGTCTGCCTGCCTGTCTGTCTGCCTGCCTGTCTGTCTGTCTGTCTGTCTGGTCGTCTGACTGTCTGGGCGTCTGTCTGTCTGTCTGTCTGTCTGCCTGCCTGCCTGCCTGCCTGTCTGTCTGTCTGTCTGTCTGCCTGCCTGCCTGCCTGCCTGTCTGTCTGTCTGTCTGTCTGCCTGTCTGTCTGTCTGTCTGTCTGTCTGTCTGTCTGTCTGTCTGTCTGTCTGTCTGTCTGGCCGTCTGTCTGTTTGTCAGCATGTCTGCCTGCCTGCCTGTCAGTTGACCCCTTCTCATTGCGACACACTGCAGGCAGAAGAGAGGCTTACGCACTCTTGACTGATTTTGCCGCACAGCATCTCAGCAGGGATTTAGATTTACGTGCAAAATCCTCTCCCCCCCCACTCCTCCCCGCGTCCGGATCCTTGCCGCATCCTTTCCCATGGTGATGTCGATGATGTCTCGCACTGCTAATCCCGAGTCCCTCCTTTCTTTTTACGGGGCGCTGCCTCCCGGTTTGAATAAAGACACAGTTCGGGCGTCGCGGCGCGGCAGTGCGTGTGACGAGGACAGAGCACCGCGGCGGCAGCGGTCCATGGCCCCGGAAGCATTAGGGCGGCGTGCGCAGTGCAACGCGGTCATCAAAATAATAACGAACGCGAAAAAAAGAGATGAAAATAGCGTTCGTACTTCGTACAACAAGCCGGTTATTGTCACAGATTGTAGCGCCTCGCGTTGCCGCGCTGCCGTGCGCGGCCGCGAGATGGCGCCGCGATTGTGTGCGGCACACTGTGCGCCCGTCGAGTACATCACGGAGTGCACGGAGTAGGACGTCTATCTGATGGCTGGGCCGCCGCGCCGCGTCGCGCCGCCGCCGGCATGACGGCAGCACGGCCAAATGCTCGCCCAAATGGCATTCTCGAAGTTGCACACTGCCTCCTCGACCTCCTCGGCAGACGGCCGTTATCCGGAGGACATTGTGCGTGGGCTCGTTTCCGCCGGTCGGTGTGCATCGCGCACCGCGCACCACGCGTCGCGCACCGCAACCAGGAAGCGGGCCTCAATGTACGGCTGGGCTTGACTAGGCGGAGTGGCCCGAACGCTTTCGCCATTTCGATAATGGGGATTAGGCAAGCCCTTGGGCAAGCCAGGCAGGTGGCCGGTGCCGTTGTCATGCGAATCGGACAGCTGTGTGGCACACTGTGGCGGCGTTGGCCGTGGCGCCCTTGGCGGGTCAACGCCCCGCCCTGTATCTGCGGACGGCGTGACGGCGTGGACGGTCCAATGATAAGACGCGCTTCTTCTGTTTTCAGGGCCGAGGTCGCAAGCGGGCAGGAGTCAACAAGGGACGGGACGGGCTCGGCTGGCACGCGGTCGACCACGGCAACCCCGAGGTGAGTGGAGGCGTGTCTGGGTCAGCAGGCCGAGGCGCACAGTGGGCCAGAAGACTGGTGGAGGTGGTCAAAATCCTGGATGGGTTTTGAGCTCCAGAGTCGCTAAATGGGACTCGAACCGAACGTGTGACCTCACCAATGGATTCCTAGTTCGGAGAGCAATCCATTGGTGGGGTCACACGCTCCGTTCGAGTCCCGTTTAGCGACTCTGGAGCTCAAAACGCGTCTAGAGTTTTGGCCACCTGACCTACACCATTCTTCTGGCCCACTGTGAGGCGAGTGCGAGGGGGAACTCACCTAACTCTCTCTCTTTCTCTGTCGCAGATCTTCGGCTCCAAGGCGGACCTGCAGATGCACACCCAGCTGCACATGCGCGAGGCCAAGCCCTACAAGTGCACGCAGTGCTCCAAGACGTTCGCCAACTCGAGCTACCTGTCGCAGCACACGCGCATCCACCTCGGCATCAAGCCGTACCGCTGCGAGATCTGCCAGCGCAAGTTCACGCAGCTGTCGCACCTGCAGCAGCACATCCGGACGCACACGGGCGACAAGCCCTACAAGTGCAGGCACCCGGGCTGCAACAAGGCCTTCTCGCAGCTCTCCAACCTGCAGTCGCACTCGCGCTGCCATCAGACCGACAAGCCCTACAAGTGCAACTCGTGCTACAAGTGCTTCGTGGACGAGCCCTCGCTGCTGGAGCACATCCCCAAGCACAAGGAGTCCAAGCACCTCAAGACGCACATCTGCCAGTACTGCGGCAAGTCGTACACGCAGGAGACGTACTTGAACAAGCACATGCAGAAGCACGCGGAGCGCACGGACAAGCGGCCGCCCATCATCGGGCTGGGCCGCAACGCGCTGCACAACATGCACGCCGCGGGGCAGGGCCAGGGCCCGGGCCAGGGCCCCGGCCACGGCCAGCTCGGCCAGCACCCCGGCCACCCGCACACGCCCGGCCCCGGCCACGGCCCCGGACACCCGCTCAACCAGGGCCAGCACAACAACAACCTGCCCGAGCACGCGCCGCAGCACGCCTACTGGCCCAAGGTGTCGCCCGACACGGCCAACTCGCTCGTGGACGCCATCAACCAGCACGAGCGCGCCAGCATGGAGGCGTGCTTGCAGCAGCAGCACAACGGCATGCTGGGCGACCACCACATGGTCAGCTCGCACCACCGCGCCCTCATGGAGCACCACCGGCATATGAACGGCACCCCGCAGCCCCAGCAGCAGACGCCGGGCGGCGGCGCGTCCTCCGGGGAGAACGGCGAGGACCTGGTGGTCATCCGGTCGCAGCAACAGCAGCAGCAGCAACAACAGCAGCAGCAGCAGCACCAGCAGCACCAGAGCAACAACCCCGGCTCGTCGCCCACCCCCGCGCCGCAGCAGGTGATCGTGTCCTCGCCCTCGTCCGTGCCCAACGGGTACGAGCTGGGCGGCGGCCTCGGTGGCGGCCTCGGCAGCATCAAGACGTCGACGCCCTCGTCGACGTCCGCCTTCACGCCCATCCAGTCCATGGGCTCGCTGCCGCCGCACCACCACCTCGGCGGCGTGCACCTCAACCCCCACCAGCTGGGCATGCCGCCCGCCGCGGCCCGGCCCGCCTACATCCCCTACGACTCGCTGTCCTTCCCGTCGGGGAAGATGGGCGGCGTGGGCGCGGGCGTGGGCGGCGGGCTGGGCGGCCAGCAGGGCGGCTCCTTCCCCAACCAGCTCATCTCGCTGCACCAGATCCGCAACTACGCGCACCAGCCCATGGTGGGGGAGCACCTCCTGGCCGGGCTCAAGGACAAGGCGCAATAGTGGCACGCGCCCAAGGTGGAGGCCGACGAGCAGGACCTCTTCGGCTGGCCCTGACGGGTCAAGCCCTGACGGGTCAAGCCCTGACGGGTCAAGCCCTGACGGGTCAAGCCCTGACGGGTCAAGCCCTGACGGGTCAAGCCCTGACGGGTCAAGCCCTGACGGGTCAAGCCCTGACGGGTCAAGCCCTGACGGGTCAAGCCCTGACGGGTCAAGCCCTGACGGGTCAAGCTCTGACGGGTCAAGCCCTGACCAGGGCCCTGAGCGCCCTCCCAGCGCCCTCCACCTTGCCGCGCCGCCCTGCGCGCGCGTGAGTGAGTGCGTGAGTGAATGTGAGAGTGAATGTGTGTGTGAGTGAGATAGCGAATGTGCTGCGTGACGTGTCGTGACCGCCCGGAACTGTGCACGCTGGTTTAGTCGAACCGGCCGCCAGATCAGCGCAGTGGGAAGCGCTGCGCGTCGCCAAGCCGCCCACCAGACCAAAAATGATCAGATTACCTCAATTTATAAAATGTTCCCTTTTTATATAAAAATTGAAAACAAAAAATACTTTGTTATTATTATGATTATTATTATGATTATTATTGTGTTCTTGATGTATTTATTTTGCAACGCAGTCATCGCGAGACGCGGCCGTAGGGGTTTACCGGAGTGACTTTAGTGTGAAATCTCACAAATCTCATAAGGCTGTTGTTCGACTAGCGCTACGCGGGGCAGGGGGCTGCTCTTGTACAATTCACGCCTTAATATTTATTCATTGTCTCGGTGAAATTTCGCCCGCTGGACCCAACGCCCTGTAGCGATTCTCGGACCACAGACCACACTGAAGGCTCCGGTTGGTACTCTATGGGCATCAATGTTCGGATTATCCTTGCGAGACTGAACGGACTCGGGAACCGTCACTCACCTACTGCGCGACAGTAATTTATTTTGGTAACCGCGATCTGTGATATTATGTAATTTTAGTAAGTTCGTTTCAATTTAATTGATTAATATTGATAATAAATACATATTGTGATTGTAAAATATGCAATTTTGTGTATTTTTTATGTTTAGGTGTCTCGGTTTCTCTGTAACAATGAGTAGATGTAAATGGCAGATCTCCTGCTTTTTTTTCTGTGACTTATGAGCTATCAACTTATGTGGATACCTTTCTAGAAGTAATAGATGTTCTTTATTACAAAGGCAATAATAGAGCGTGCTCTCTACTCTATTTCATTCTTTCCAACCTGTTGGGAAACTGCCGATTTGCGTCCTACAAATCTTCTAGAGTTGTGTCCATGATAAGCAGAAATGAATTGTACTTGATGGTAGAGCTTTGCATCCGTAATTGTAATTAATTACTTGCAATGTTATTTTTAAATTGTTAATGTTATATTGATATCTGTTGTAAACTTGGATCGTTTGAGTTTTAAAAATTATGCAACACAAACCTCTTATTGTGTGGAATTACAGATCTCCTGAAGCAAACTAATACATTGTAAGAATATTTTTCTCATTTTCTGTCTCAATGTCTTACTTTTCACTTTTTAAGTCTCCACAGACTATTCCTTCCTTTGTCTCTCTCCCTCTCTCTCTATCTCTCTATCCCTGTCTCCTGATATTTCTGTAATTTTGACTATTATTGTACATTGTACACTGTGAAATACATGTTCTCAATCTGTATTACTTTGCTTCAATTAAAATTACTTACTGGGTTACAATTGGTTATCTATTACCTTCATGGGAATTAATTAATATTCAATTGATCCAGTCAAAATGAGGAATAGCTACTTTACGTTTTTCCTATTTTTCTCTCTATATCGAGTATCTGCAAATTAAATGTGTCGCAATTTGATGTTAGCATTGTTCAAGTGGTTGCATGTGTAGATTTGTTTGTGATAATGTTCTTGTACATTTGCAACTGTTAAATGACTGGAAACAAATACTTGAAAATAGAGATGAGGGCACTACCATGACATGGTTGTTCTATTAATTCTATTGATTCAACCAAACTGTTTATGTTACTGTAATTTTGAATATTTTAACCAGCTGTATTAAATTGTGTTGTTTTGTTCATCAAGTCTTTTGTCGCAAGTTTGCTGTTATGTCCTATTGACATTATTTCATATTGAGTCACACATTTAAGATGTTGTTTTGTTTCTAGTTAAGCGCTTGTATAAATGTTTGGCAATGTAAAAATGAATATTCTATTTTAAAGTATACCAAAATGGTGATCCAGCTCGTTTTTGGGTGTCTCCAAAATGTATGTGAATGTCATTGGTGGTATTAAACAAATATACTAAGTAGGCCTATCTTTGCTTTTGATGATAAATGAAATCTGAAACTCAAACCTTTTTTTTTTTTCATTTCAAAATCATCCTTCACTTGCACAAATTTGCCCATTCTTACGGTGAACAGGCCGTGTACGATGGGTTGCCTTCCTTTCTGGCACATGTAATGCCAGCTTTCCCTAGAAAAAGATTGTTTAGGACTGAAATTTTCTTCTCAAAAGTATCAGGAACCATTAGAGAATGCTCCAGCATAACATACACCACTTTGGGCCATTTAAAGTTTTGGCCCTAAATGTGAAAAATCTGTGGACAAAAAACAGAAACCAGGTGTCCAATGGTCTTTGACGCATTCTATTTTGAGAGAAAATGACTCTTCCCTTGACGCAGGGTGCGGCCAAGCGGCTGTGGCCGATGGGTTGCCTACCTTCCGGCGCACACTTCATTTCCGGGCCGGTTTCTTTGTTAGAGAAAGACTGTTTAGGGCCAAAATGGTCGTCGAGATAGTGTTCGGAGTCATTCGAGAGTGCTCCAGAACAACATTCTCCAGTTTGGGCTGTTTGGCTGATCCGTGGTTAGTACCTAGCGCGAGCAATCTGGGAGTGATGGTTTACCCGGGTGGGTTCTGGACGCGCTTCCACCAGCCGCCGCGTCGCTCGCCGTCTATGGTCCCCTCTCGCCTAAACTCAGACTTGTGGTTACCTGATTCTTTGGGTTCGAGAAGTGAACTGAGAGTTTGGGAACCAAACTCAGAAAAAGATTGGGCCCCACGGGACTCGAACCCGAGCTCCTCTCCTGACAGCCAACTCCTTCGCCCACTCAAATGGACAAACATGTTCACGATAAAAGATGATGGGTCCTTCCTCCTTTCTCTAGGCGTAATTTATTTATAAAGACCAGGGAGAATATGAAATAAAACAAGATAGGTTATGAGTACCGAAGTTCTGAAGGCACAATTACAAGCTGCCAAAAGTGAATACATCCTTCATTTACTCTTGTAATATCTACCACAGGCATAGTAAACAGAAATTCATACTTGTACCACAGTGATGGCAAGAAGGTGGATTTTCAGGTCACAAGTTAAATTTGGAGTAAGTGGCAAGAATATACAACTCTCAGTGAGGCAAGCAACGAAATCAAACCAACTATGGAGTTTCAAGATCCCTCCTCCTGCCATGAAAACAACATGCTTTTTTTTGCATAAGGTAAAATACAATACTTTAAATATGTTTAAGATGCCTTCATGACAAATATGGGCAGGTAGGTAATCATTTAATGGTTAAAGAGATTAGTATAGTTTCATTTCTTATGAACAAAATCAAAACAAATCATCAATGTCAACAACAGCTCAACTACTGCTTACATATGTATTGCTAAATCTGGACCCTCATTTACATTTAGATGAAAAATGCACAAATATGACATAGTTAAACCAAAATATAAGAGGGAAAGAGAGGGAGGAAGCAAGGAAAGCAGGAGTTAAATTGAAACCTGACAACATCTCGGGCGTTGAATTAAACTATAGACAGGTCAACAAAGTTTAACATTACTGTAACCATGTTAAAGAAATCTGCCCCAGCCTCAGGACAAGAACTAAACAAATGCTATACCTGAATGAGAGCCAGAAATAAATGCTACTACAAAGCATTAACCATCTCATCACATTTGAACTCAATAACATAAATCAATTGAATTAGATACAGTACATCGATACAAAAACAAATCAAAACAACAATAATCCTGATAAATACTAGGGGAAAATCTCACTCACAAACTTAATAAATAAAGTAAAATCACTAGTCATAAAATTTGATGTCAAAACATCAAAGTGAATTCATTTGCCAAATTTTAATTTTAGTGAACATTCTTTTTAAAACTAATGATAAAATGATGATTCACACAAGAAGAACAAATTAAATAACATTATTTTTCACTGAGTAATCATCAGGATCATCATGTTAGCAGGATATGCTGATACCAAAATTACAGAGTGAGCCAATCATTGATTCATCAAGCACTACAAGTTGGATGTCTGCAAGGCAATAAGGGTCACAATAGGTGTTTGAATTATAGTCTGTTGACACTGAAAAGAAGCTAGCAGAACCATTCTTAAAATTATGTGATTGGCTCAGTAAGAAATTTTCAAACCTTACCAAGAAATATCAAGTCTGTTGAAAATTAAGAAATTTAAACGTCTTTTCATAATTTGTTTTGAAATGGAAGTAAAAAGCAATCAAGCAGGTTCATTAACTGAAGAACATATACTTCAATCTGCTCCCTACCCCCATAGATATGGTGGCTGGGGACGTGAAAGGATCATGTCAAGCTTCTTTCCAATTGTCAGACTGAAGGAGCAGGCTGATAACATCACACAAAATAAAATACACAAGAAAGTTTGATAAACAGGTTTGACAAGACTTCGCAGCATGGAACTAACACGAGTTAAAAAACAAAGCCCAAGAAAATATGCATTCAGCATTCACAAAAATAAATTGACAATCCAAACAATGCTTAAGATAAAAAATATTTCCATATAGCATTTGGATGTTTCATTAATATTTCAATCAACAGTAGCGATTTCATAAGCAGGAGCACTATGAACGCTCAGATGAAATCATTCACCTAAGCACGGACTTCAAATTTCAGGAACAAACAGAAAATGCACCTTTAAGTCTTGCTGAACAAAACCGTGACATTAAAAGTTTTGGTACATTTTGTAGCTAATCCTAAAATCGGAATATGCCAAACAAAGGGTAATATTACTTTCCAAACATTAAAATAGCGTAGTTGTTATTACTACAGAGGAACTTAAAAAATGTGACAAAAGCACAACGCAAACTGTCACATACTGTACTTCACAAAAAATGAGAACATGTACATTTTGCTAGATGAACTAAAATCAGGGAATCTACCTCATTTTCAACAAGATTCTGCACAAAAGAGACATTTCATCACAAAAGTGTATCACATTAAATGCAATTTTAAAGGCTGCTTTTAAAGCAAGTTACCATAAGTATTAAACACTAACCAACAGTTAATAAGTGGTTACGTTTGATCAAGGAAACCTAACATTAATTTGCACAACCATAGTATTGCTTGCCTCCATCTCCAACAACAGACATTGGCTTTCTGTCTCCAAATGATATGCCATGTCAATCATAAAATGCAGAAAATAGTTACCACAGCTTCCACAATTCAGAAATGGGTGGAGAACAAAAGCAAGGAATGCTCTAAACTCAAGACTTCAGTACAGCTGTAAATTATGACAGCTAAGGGAGAGAGGAGCAAGCATAGTTTGGCAACACTGAGAAAACTGTTTCTTTTTCCTTTTTTCTTTCAAATTTGAATGCAAAATAATTACGAATAAGAATATGCTATTACTTACTAAGGCTAAATTCTTATTTGGTTGAATACATGTAAAATCATTTTCTATCTCGCAGAAAAGATATTGATACTACTGTTAGCATTTCGTTTCCGCACCAGGCGAGCAGCAACTGAAAGCAAAAACGCATTGGTAGTCAGACAGTGAAGGGGTGAAGATTGACAGTTTTTAAAGTAAGACAAAACGTACTTGCATTGTCCTGTGGCGTTAGAGGTCTTTCAAGAACTTGATCTATTACTTGAATCCATTCATCTCTTTCCTCTTCAGTTTCAGCTGACAAATGAAATGATCTATCTGGTGTGCGCAGGGTAAATGAATACCCTTGGTCCTTCGACTTAGGGGAAACACCAACCCTTATTCCATAACCATCCATCATGTTGCCCAAAAATATTTCTCCCTTGGGGTATGCATCCTAAAAATTTGAAATTCAGAGTTATTTCAATCTTTCATGATCATGGTTGGGCCGTTAATATTTATTATAATATAGGTAACACACTCACCAATGGCTCATCATGGTACATAAGTTTTCTATTGTCGAGAGTGAACCATCGCTTTTTGTAACCATCACTGTTACGTGGTCCTGTCTTCCACAGCCAACCCTCTCTTGCAAAATCTTGAGTTAACCTCTTTACAAGCTATAAATAAAGAAAACATTAATAAAACCAATTTGTGTTAAGTATTTACAGATACAGACAAGTCTTTTGAAACAAGTATAGAGCATCTCTCAGAAATTCAGCTAAACCCGGTTTCTATCTCCTAAAACGGGAAGCTTTGATGTAAATCATTATGGCCGGTCAAAATGTGACTGGATCCATAGTCTAAAAAACCAAAATCTAGTTTTGAGGACAATATACAAGCAAAAAGTAGGGTGTTGTATGACTGTTTTAGTATGTTTCAGTTCCCCAAAACCAATTATACATGAGGCTTACTTCAAGACAAACACTGAATTAAACAATTCCTCCACTTTACTTACCTCTGATTCATTGGCAGATGGGTATGCTACATGAAGTCGGTTAAACTTTGCACTGCGAATAGCCATGTACCAATTCACAACAGTCTCTGGATCGTCATGGTAAACATATATATGTCTTGTAGAGCCATCCTTCAAAAATGTGATTTGTAAAGAATTAGAGTTACCAATCTTGCTAGGGGCAAATGCTACATTCAGCTCTGATATCCTTAAAACGGCTTTGGGTTCTTTTGTCTGCAATTAATTAAGTCAAATACATATAGAAAACAATGGCATAAATATTGAAGACTTCCAGCAAAGGCAAAATCGTAGTACATACCTCCTTTATATAATATTTAAGAGTATCATCAGCTTCTCTGAGAACAAATTTTCTGGGCAAGTATTTGCTATCTTCTTTACCTCTTTTCATAAGAAAGCCTTCCATATATCCTGAGCTGTATGACTGACGTTCAGGATGCATAAATTCTTCACGATGGTACTTAGAAAATATCCATTGCTCTAGTAAAACCCTGAGAAAATTAAGATATTTGTGATAAACCAGTTAATCAAAGTAAGAAAAGTAAAAGCTGCAATTATAAGGGTTAAAGGAAACTGACTGGTTCTCATTTTCATCTGGAATTCGGTAACAAGGAGGGACTCTTTCTTCATATTTCATTTTAGCTGCCAAATTTCCAACATCTTTCATACGTTGAACTTGACTGTCCTCCCATCGATCAACTGTCAAATGCTTCACTTTGGAAATATGGGCACCCATGCAACGATGGATGTTAGCACAACGTGCACACACAAATATGCCAATGTTATAAGATGCATATTCCGGATCTGCAACAGAACAAAACTTGGAATATGATACACGAAGGATAAATATGATATTACCAACAAATGCAGAAAGATCAAATAACAACAGAAATTTGAAGATAATTTATAGAAATGCTGACAAGACGAACATCAAAACCATAACCTCATAACATCAGAGGTAACCAGATAACAAACATGAGATTGTTTCCTCACTCCTAGTTTGGAGCAAGTTCATCAAATTTAAACGCGAAAGAGGTTGAGCGAGGCAGGAGCAAAACACTGACAAAGGTTGCTTTTGTGATAATATGACAGAAGTAAACAGAACCTCAAAATTCGTCTGCGTCTGAGAAAGTCGAAGCCAATACACTTACTTTTACTGCCACAATCTGCACAAGAGTTATTTCCTGGACGCTTCGACAGTTCCAGGAGGTACTTAATGTTGTTGTCACTCATGGTAAAGGCAAGATCTCGATAAAAGATGTGCAGGAAAGTCCAACCTCAGCTCTTGCTGGAAGCGTTACGCTTCGGGTTCAAAGCCCAAAGGGAGCGGGATACGAACTGCGCCAGCATCGCGATCATTTAATTCCAGAGGGCAGAACACGTAGTTATGTACAAGCTTGGCTTGCAAATAATTAGAGCGATATGTTGCTGGAGCGATGTTAAATTGGGAAGAAACAGCGACAGGGACAGGGTACACACAGAGTAGAGCACAGAGCTGGGCATGATTCGCCCCGCAAAGCAACCGAGAGATGGCACCACAGTCGCGGCTGTGAGACGGGTTTTTCGACAAACCCGGGTGGTAGGGGGACAAGCCGTGGTGGTGGGGGCGATGAGCCGTGGTGGTGGAGGCCGTGAGGTAGCCCAGGTAGCGGCACAGACACGTGCCTGGCCCGTGACGTCATTGTCCAGAAAACCCGGCCCAGGGAGCTGGCGACGTAGTTCCGACGGTCGCCGCCAGAGCTGCCACTTTTGCTTTGCGGGGCGAACGGCACCCTGCCGCGCGGGGTATCGGCGTGGACTGACATACTGACATGGGGTATTCTCTGCACACGTTATGCTGTGAGTAGGTAAGGCGTAGGAGAGCGAGAAAGAGAGAGATAGACCGACGACAGCCCGGCAGAATCAGTTTGCATCTGCTAGTTGAGCACTCGGCGGGATTTAAATGAGGAGGCCCGGCGCCCTGTATTCTAATGAACGTATGCGGCAGCACGCCAGCAAATCTGCCGCCTCGCTCCGTTTCGTCGCTCTGTCTCTCTCCCTCTCGCGAGGCGACCCGTGAGGGTGCGAGAGAGACAGCGTCGAAATTGGGAACGAGCTACGCGTGCTACGCGAGGCACCTGCCTCGGCCTCCGAGTGCCTTGCAGTGCCGAGGAGGATGACATATTTAATGCAGCGTGCTGGCTGCTGTTGCTGCTGTGCCCCCGAGACTGCTCCCGACTGCTTCGCAGGTGCGGATCCAGGAAAGGGGGGAGGGCACAGTGGGCCAGAAGACCGGTGGAGGCGGCCAAAACTCTAGACGCGTTTTGAGCTCCAGTGTCGCAAAATGGGACGCGGACCGAACGTGTGACCCCACCAATGGATTCCTCGTTCGGAGAGCAATCCATCGGTGGGGAGACTGATTCCGAGAGTCGCTCTCGCACTCACGCAGCGCGTCCAGTAGGTGCGAGAGAGACAGAGCGACGAAAACGGCTCTCGGAATCAGTCTGCAGGTTATGCAACTGTTACGACGTCCCTCCCCCTGAACCCCCTGAATCCGCCCTCTTGTCCTCCCCCTTTCCCCGACCTGTCCCACCGTTCCCTCCAACTCCCCGTCACCTTGTCGTCCTCCAAGGACACCATCTCACCGGCCCGGCCGCCCGGTAGCAGGTCCCTTTGCAAATCGAGGGGCTGATTTAAAAGGGGCAGTAATCTCGTTCCCGGCGGAGATTAGCTGGCGAGGGGTGGGAGGGGAAAGGGGGGCGGGAGGGGGGGAGGGTCAGTCCAAGGGCTCACACGGGCGGCTGTAGTGAAGGTTGCTCGTCTCGAACTACCCCCACCCTTCACAGTGGACCAGCAAGACCGGTGGAGGCGTCCAAAATTCTAGACGCGTTTTGGGCTTCAGAGTCGTTAAACAGGACACGAGCTGAACGTGTGACCCTACCAAATGGATTCCTCGTTCGGAGAGCAATCCATTGGCGGGGTCACACGGTCGGTTCGAGTCCCGCATTTAGCGACGCTGGAGCTCAAAGTGCGTCCGGGATTTTGACCGCCTCCACCGGCCCTCTGGCCCACTGTGCCGCTTCCTTCTCTCGCCCCAGCCGTCCGCCACGGTCCGCCACTACTCCTCGGGGACGCGTCGGTCCCGTCGGTCCGCACCGACCAGATCGAACCGACACAATTGCGGTGCTCATCAGGGCTGTTAGAGAAGACAAGGGCGGGACGGGACGCACCGGCTCTACTGCCAGCCGAGCCATTCAGAAGAGTCGTTTCGTCGCTCTGTCTCTCTCGCACTTGTAGGACTCTCCGTAAGTGAGCGAGAGAGACAGAGCGACAAAGCGATGTTCTGAATCGCTCGGCAGCCCGGGGAGAGGATCCGATGAACGCAGGGAGGGAACGCAATGGGTTCGAGGCCCATTTAGCGACTCTGGAGCTCAAAACGCGTCTAGAGTTTGGACCGATGGTACCGGAAAATGCGTCCCGAACAGCGCCAAAAAGTCAGCCCGCTCGCTGCGAGTCCAAGGAAATCCCTCGGCCAGTCTCGGGCTAGCAGACTGATTCCGAGAGTCGTTTTCGTCGCTCCGTCTCTCTCGCACCCATGAGGACGCCCCGTGAGTGGGAGAGAGACAGAGCAACGAAAACGACTCTCCGTCTGCTGGCTCGCGGATCGGACGAGGGATCGGACGAAAGCGAGGGATTCCGGCGGAGCGCAGTCGCGGAGCGCGGCCTGCCGAGGGTTCTGAAAAAAAAAGAGAGAACTTGAATCGGGACGTGCGCGACTCAAGGCGCCCGGGGGATTTGTTACGAGGGATTCTGCATCGAGGAGGCACTGTAAGTCCGCGAAGACGAGGTCGCGGAGAAGAACCCTGCCAGCTCAACAGTGCACTCAGGACACTCTGATTGGTGTGTATATTGGGGTCTTGGCACTCACAAGTACACAAGTACACTGTCGGCGAGTACTCACAAGAAGGATCTGTTCGGCGTGTACTTACAAGTAGGTTAGGCTCCGTCGTAGACTCGTGACTTGCAGAGAATGCGCTGAGTTTTGGTGAGAAGTCGCGGCCGCGGGGCGTAGGCAATCCACGCAGTGGCACGCACAGAGAGGACGGAACAGAGAGGTATAACTGGGATAGGGCCCGCTCCGCCAATTTCCGAACCTCGCGGGGCGCGCGAACTAACACGGTAGCCAACCTACGACACAAAAAACTTCATTTTTGTTGGCGCCTTTTGCCCAACTCGCCATTATTTTTAAAATGCCTTAATAGCTATTACATTTGGCAAAACAGGGAAAAAAGCTTGAATGCTAGTTTAATAAAAATAAGGGGACATGAAATATTAGTTTAATATTCGTTGAGCCAGCCCTGCTCGGAGCCTCCCGAAGTTCCTTCGGCTCCGAGCCGACCGCCACTTCGTTGCAGCAGTAGTGCGCTCGTGTCGTCCGTGTTGTGTTCGTCGTTGGACTTGTTTATTTTTGTTGCGGTAAGTAAATATTTAAATTCTTTAGAATTCAGTCCTTAGTTTCCTTTCTTGAAACTGCCGTACTGCGAATCCCTCTCCACTCCTCGGCGCCCCGGTTAACTCGTTATGTAATGAAATTCGGCGATTGCCGAAACAGGCCTACGCAGCCGGCATTGCTTAGTGATGGCGTCCATCTTGTACTGAACATTTTGTGATATGTTTTGAGTTTTTCAATTCCGTGGTGTTTCCTTTATCTTATATAGTCCCTCCTCAGTGCATTATCTATGATCATAGTAACTTTTTTGAAGTGTGTAGCGGCCTCAAGTGACTTTGCGGCCGAGTGGCCTAAACTCATAACCTCAACTCTGTGCCCTGTTGGTGTCTTGTTTTTCCTAAGTGAAAAAAGTTATCATTTCGCTTTTTTAAATACGTGTCCCAAACATATCAATTTGTGAACAAAAGTTGCTTTCTATTGCAAAGACTCATTCTCAAAGTGTGGGGCCCCACCTCTTTTTAGTTTCTGAGTTATGGATGTTTACGCAAACTTTTAGTCGATTCCCCCAAATTCTCCTAACGACACAGAAAATGGTCCCCAGCCTTTCAATTGAGGCATTTATATCTCTTTTAGTATTAGATAAAGGTGGTGCTGCCCTTTTTTTATACCCTCCTTTGTTTTCCTGAAAAACAACAAATAAGAACAAAATGTGACAAGATATCTCAAATTTGAAGAAAATAAAAACAAGAGTAGGAAAGTGGCTGTCACACCTTGTACTGGGCTTATATTTCCAAATCTTTCTCCTTTCTATGTAAAGGTTAAAATGCCAGAATCTGCAAACTGCGTACCTTTCCATATGTCATAGGGAGACTTTGGAAGAAATCGACTCAAAGTTTGCGTAAAGCTCCATAGCACAAAGACCAATATGAGCTGGGTTCCTCAACTCAGGGATTGAATTCATCTATTAATGGTTGAATTTTAGCCACACATTGAACTTCCTGTCACAAGTATTTGTAGAACTTAACTTAATACTTAATATTTTTTTATCTCTTGTTCCAGATGGCTCTTGATTTTAAGGCTTGGGGCGATGTCATCACCTTCCCTAACTCCAAGGGGATGAAGGTGTTACTGGAGGCTGTTGACTCTATTATTCTATCCACCAATCTGCTCTAAGTGGTACGTTCCATTATGGACTTAGTTTTCTCACTGGCTCTTTCTTTTCCCCATCGTACGTTTGCTAATTTCTGTCTCTTATTTCTTTTCAGATCGATGATGCGTTTTGCGGGCTCCCCAACTGATCCTTCCGTTTGACTTGTGACTGAAGATTGCCTATTAGTGATCTGTGATATAATCTGTGATAAATGTTTTCATTTGACATGTAGTATTTAATTTAAAATTTTGACTCGGTTAATGATTTGTGATGTATCTGTGACTAATGTTTTCATTAAACATTCCTTTTTGGTTAAATATCTCATTTTCATTCCACAAGCCTGCCCTAGCGCCCCCCCCCCCCAAAAAAGGGGAGTAAGCTTACAAGCTATTTTCTCATTCCTATAGAACAGTGAAAAAGACCAATAGAGATTTGAAAACCAGACCAACTGACAATCGAAGCAGCCCATTATGCATCTCAAACACCAAAACCAGTTTAATTGGCCAGGATCAACCACAATTCAGTCCAAAAACCTGGGTACCGGGCCAGCCGCCCGGCCGCCAGGCGGCGCGAACGCGCATTCAAACGAACGGCGCGGCCCGGGCCGACCGGGCCGTGTCGAGCTCCAGCCAAAAAGCGCGCGAACGCACCGCTAGGTGCGCTACCGTCGGCGCGCGGCCGCCGGGCCCGACGAAATTGGCGGAGCGGCTTAGCATGGGAGTTATACCTCTCTGTTCCGTCCTCTCTGGGCACGCAGTGGCACGCAGTGGTGCCGCATGGGTTGCCTATCCTCCCGTTCGCGGGCGCTTCGCTAGCTTCGCTCGCCGCTCCGGACGGGCCGTTAAAGTTGAAGTGACGCTTGGGATGGGTACCAGCGGAGCGCTTCCGGAGGATCTCGCTCCGTCTCTCTCGCACCCCACGCGGTGCCCTGCCAGTGCGACAGAGACAGACAGGACTCTTCGGAGTCCGGCGAGCCCCCAAGACGATCGCGTTACGAGCAGGACTGGCGCGCTGACTACCCCAGGGGCGAGTGGTACTGGTGGATCTTGGGGTGTTGCCGATTTTCCCATCTCGTCCAAGCGCAAGTCAAACCTGGCATACGCTCGTGGTTGTTGCCTGTCGTGTACAGTCCAACGGCGTGTGGCTAGAGCGGACTGGAGAGACGCGTTGGTGTCTCTGTCGCGCTAAGACCCTTCGCCCCAATGCCGTCTGATTCCGCAGGATCGTTTGTTCGCTGTCTCTGTCGCACTCATGGAGCGTGCCTTGGCCCGTAGGGGAGCGAGAGAGACAGAGCGACCGAACGAGCCTTCGGATCGGAGCCACGCGGCCGGCCGGCCGCACGCGCCGCCCGCCCGGCTCGCCCTCCGCCCCGCCCCTCGTCCTCGCTCGGCCCCTCTCCCTCTCTCCCTCTCTCTCTCTCTCTCTCTCGCGTCTCTCAGTCTCCCACCGGCCGCCGCCCCAGTCGCGTCGTTCCCGCTCGTCGCAGAGCAGCCGGGCCCCGCCGCGCCGCACCGCAGCACCGCGTCGCGCGTCGAGTCCTCGGCGACGACGCCCCCCGCGCAGTGGCGGAGCCAGGCCTTCGACGCCGGCCTTGCCTGGCGTGGCCGCCTCCGTCCCGGAGTGATTGATCGTTGGTATCACGTGGTACCTCTGAAACCTGACACGGTGCGAGCCGCGACGCGTCCACGCCGCGTCCACGCCGCGTCCCCCGGGCCGAGACCTCGGGCGAGACCCTGAACCGCCCTGGACGCGTGTGTCGCCGCCGTCGTGAAGGCCGGCCGGACCTCCTGAAGAGAAGCACCTGTAAGCTGCCAAACCAGGGTGGGTCCAGGGACGGATCCAGGAGGGGGGGGGGCGATGTTGCCTACGCTGCGACTTGTTGCCTACCTTGAGGCATACCTTTCTCCGCCTCCAATGTGTGAGTGTGTGTGTGTGGGGGGGGGGGGGCGCCCCCATTGCCTCTCCCTGGATCCGGTCCTGCCTGCCAAAAGAAATCAATAAAAGACCAACAAAATTGTGATCAAAATAGCGCTGTTTACATTTCGCTGTCGTTTTATAGTCCAGCAGGGGCAGGGCATCTACACGGCAAAAAAACAAAATGGTTCCTGGTTCTCCCAGGAAACTTCCTGAAAGTAGCTTAGGTCATTGCTATAGGCTCCTGGGACTCCTCGTTCGGAGAGCAATCCATTGGTGGGGTCACACGTTCCGTTCGAGGCCTGTTAAGCGACTCAAAAGCTCAAAACGCGTCTAGAGTTTTGTCCGCCTGTACCGGTCGTCTGGCCCACTGTGCACCGCCACTCCTCGCTCTGTCTCTCTCGCACTCCTCCGTCACTCTCCTTGAGTGCGAGAGAGACAGCTAGAGAAGTGCCGGCGGCGAAATCGGCCGACAGTGTCGCCACCCTCGACGCGCTACAGGTTCGCCTCGCTGGTTCAAGGGCGGTTCACTTTTCACGTAACGGAACGCGGACGCGCTCGGTCGATCTCTCTCGCACTCGCTGTCAGTGGGCCACTGACCCGTGAAGAGCGACGGGGACAGAGCGAGGGAAGAGCGTCGCGGTGTAAACGATCCGTTTCGACCGTTTTCAGTGGGTGGCCCCGGCCCTCACTTCAGTAGGAACGCGAGACAGTCGACTGGCTGCCCCGGGAAAAGGAGGGGAAGTACGGACTAAAGTACGGACGTTCCATACTTTTTTCCGTACTTCCGTACTATTCGTCTGTACATTTCCCGTACAAAAGTACGGATTATTTTACAGTGCGTGCCGAAGCCCCTGATTGGGGCGAGTGGTGGGGGGGCAGCGAATTAAATCAAGCCCTCCGTATCTTATCTGCGAACGCAGACTGTAGAATGTAGGTGGCGGGGCCAGGCACGGCCTGGCACGGCCCTGCAGGGGTCAGAGCGGGACAGTGCCAGCGGTGCCAAGCACACTGTGAGCGAGAGTAGTAGTCATGTTCGTATCGCTCTGTCTCTCTCGCCCCCATACGGGATGCCCCGTGAGTGTGAGAGAGACAGAGCGACGAAAACAACGACTCTCGGAATCGGTGTGCAGCGGTGCCAGCCCGCTTCCTCGGGACGCCGCGCAGCCCTGCACCGCTTCCCGCACCTTCCTCAAGGACGACGGCGGTCATTGCCTCGATCAGGCGCGCTGAGTGTGTGGCAGTGTGTGTGTGTGTGTGTGTGTGTGTGTTAAAGCCCCCTCGCGATGACGGCTTGCGTTACCGCGACGAAATGTGTCTGAAAGGGCCGAAAGTTTGCGCAACGTGCTGTCACACCCTAATTTTGCGACCCGAGTTTAATTACTCATTCATTTTTTTTATTTTGTTGAGAGTGTGCCTGCTCGCACCGGCCGCCCCTTCTCAGGGGCGTCAGCAAGCAGGCCGAGGCCGGGAACGGCCGGAGTGGAGTACTTCATCAAAACGGGGCCAGGGGAGACGGTGTTGGAAGGGAGGAGGGGGGAGGGGGCAAAACACGGAGGCTTATTGCAGCTTTTTTAAGCCCGGCGGCCCGGCGGCCCGGGGGCGTCCTCCTTTCCGGCCAAACGAACCCTTCACCCTTCGCCTGGCGGGGCCGACAGTAAGCATTACTTTATCGCTGAGACATTCCGAGGCTTTTAGACTAGCCTCGCACCAGCCCCCCCACGCGGCCCACGCTGATTCCCCCTGGGGCGTACAAAATTGTATCGTACAAAAATTTGCACGAAAACATTTCGAGTGTGTGCGGCCCTTGCACCGCCAGTCACTGATAACTGCGCGCACTAAATAATGCGGTCAAATTTGTCGCGTCGATATCCTGACCGCACATCAGTGCTGCGGTCATTGGACTCGTGCGCGGTCGAGCTTATCGGGCCCCTATGCATTTACATGGCTCGCGGAGGGAACGCCGCACGTGCAAGCGCCACGTGGAGGCGAGAGAGACCGCGCTTCCTCGTGCGAACAACCCTACTCCGTACAGTGGGTCAGAAGACCGGTGGAGGTGGCCAAACCCCTGGACCCGTTTTGAGCTCCATAGTCGCTAAACAGGACTCGAACTAAACGTGTGACCAGGCTCGGACTGGCCAGGGCAGACAGACAGAAAAATCTGCCGGGGCCTTCGGGTTTGGGACCAGTAACGTCACAAAGTTGGTCAAAAAGTGATTGAATCTCCGAAAGCACAGAAAGTAGCCGTTTTCGCTGAATTTGAGCGGCCACTGTGTCCAATCTTGTTGCCGCAAAAGGCCTCCCTCGACGCCCTAGTATTCTTAAGCCCCTACTCTTTCATGCCCTGTACCGGGAAGACGTTGACCACAACGATTTAGCCTTTGACCGCAACGATTTCGGGACCAAAGTTGATCAAAAAGTGGTCGAATCTCGGAAATTTGCTGATTTTGCTGACTTTAGGCGGCCACTGTGTCCCATCTAGTTGCCGCAAAAGGCCTCCCTCGACGTCCTAGTATTCTTAAGACCCTACTCTTTCATGCCCTGTATCGGGAAGACGTTGACCACAACGATTTAGCCTTTGACCGCAACGATTTCGGGACCAAAGTTGATCAAAAAGTGGTTGAATCTCGGAACTTTGCTGATTTTGCTGACTTTGGGCGGCCACTGTCTCCAATCTAGTTGCCGCAAAAGGCCTCCCTCAACGTGCTAGCATTCTCAAGACCGTCCTCTTTCATGCCCTGTATCGGGAAGGCTTTTGACCGCAACTAGTTTGGGAGCGGTAGCCTCACAAAGTTGGTCATGAAGGGTAAAAACAATGATGATCGGGGGCCTTTTGCGGATCGTGTGATCATGAAATATTTTTTCTCTCGTTCCGAAAAAGGGAAGCAACGCAAAATAAGAGAGCCAATAAATTTGTGGGCGCTCATATTGCCGTACATGCGAAGCCGAACGAAGTGAGGGCCCGTCCCTCGGCGCGTCCCGTGGGCCCCGTGCGCCCCGTGGGCCCCGCAACCGAAAGCGGCAATATTCTTCCGGAATGCGCCTGTCGCCGTGCGCCACAGTGTGCCACAGTGTGCCACAGTGTGCCACAGTGCGCCACAGTGTGCCACAGTGTGCCACAGTGTGCCACAGTGTGCCACAGTGTGCCACAGTGCGCCGCAGTGTGCCACAGTGCGCCACAGTGTGCCACAGTGTGCCACAGTGTGCCACAGTGTGCCACAGTGTGCCACAGTGTGCCACAGTGTGCCACAGTGCGCCACAGTGCGCCACAGTGTGCCACAGTGTGCCACAGTGCGCCACAGTGTGCCACAGTGCGCCACAGTGCGCCACAGTGCGCCACAGTGCGCCACAGTGTGCCACAGTGTGCCACAGTGTGCCACAGTGCGCCACAGTGCGCCACAGTGCGCCACAGTGTGCCACAGTGTGCCACAGTGTGCCACAGTGTGCATGCACAAAGCGGGGCTCTCCGCGGGGCTCTGCCCTGAAAGGGAGCGCCACTCCGCCTTGGCCGTTCCGGCTCGTGCGGCCGCCCTGCTTTCAGCCACCTGCCTGCCGCACAGTGGGCCAGAAGACCGGCGCAGGCGGCCAAAACCCCAGACGGGTTTCGAGCTCCAGAGTCGCTAAGCAAGACTCGAACCGAGCGTGTGACCCCACCAATGGATTCCTCGTTCGGAGAGCAATCCATTGGTGGGGTCACACGCTCGGTTCGAGTCAAGCTTAGCGACTATAGAGCTCAAAACGCGTCTAGAGTTTTGGCCGCCTGCGCCGGTCTTCTGGCCCACTGCCCTTCGGCCCGCCCTTGAACTCGCGGCAACTCCGGCCCGCCAATCAGCGCGTTATTTCCGCTGTCCGCCGATCGGCATAATTCGCCGCCCACTCGGCCTGACGGCTTGCTGACTGAGAGTCTCGCTCTGTCTCCCTCGCACCCATACGGGACGCCCCATGAGTGCGAGAGAGACAGAGCTCTCGGAATCAGTCTGGGCCTGACGAAGTGACGGACTGAGCGGGGCGGACGGACGCGGCGGGCTGTGGCGAGACGACGCCGAATTATTGCGCTCATCACCCCCCTCCTCTTCGGCGCCCCCGCCACCCCCGCCCTTCCATATGGCGGCGCGGCCGGCGCGCCGGCGACCGCGGTCGGGGCCGTGTCGACCCGCGGGGCGCCATGCGCTTTCGTCCACAGCGATCGTCCCCTTTGCCTCGACACTGGTAAAACTAAGTGGCTCGCCCAGCCTCGCCACACCCTTCGTTGCAATTTGGCACGACTTATCGAATTCTGCTTTATTTTCCTCTCCAGCGGCTTGACGCCGGGGCCTGCCGCCAGCAGACTGAGAGTCGTTTTCGTCGCTCTGTCCCTCTCGCACTCATGCGATGACCCGCTCTCGAGGGAGATAGTGCGACGAAAACGACTCTCGGAATCAGTCTGCTCGCTGAGACTGGGACGATTGCCTTGCCTGGGGCGGCCTCTGCAGCGCCCTGCAGGGCCGGCCCACCCCACTGCACCCCCCCCAACCACCACCACCCCACTGCACCCCCCCCCAACCACCACCACCCCACTGCACCCCCCCCCCAACCACCACCACCCCACTGCACCCCCCCCCAACCACCACCACCCCACTGCACCCCCCCCCCAACCACCACCACCCCACTGCACCCCCCCCCAACCACCACCACCCCACTGCACCCCCCCCCCAACCACCACCACCCCACTGCACCCCCCCCCCAACCACCACCACCCCACTGCACCCCCCCCCAACCACCACCACCCCACTGCACCCCCCCCCAACCACCACCACCCCACTGCACCCCCCCCAACCACCACCACCCCACTGCACCCCCCCCCCCCAACCACCACCACCCCACTGCACCCCCCCCCAACCACCACCACCCCACTGCACCCCCCCCCCCCAACCACCACCACCCACTGCACCCCCCCCCCCCCAACCACCACCACCCCACTGCACCCCCCCCCCAACCACCACCACCCCACTGCACCCCCCCCAACCACCACCACCCCACTGCACCCCCCCCCCCAACCACCACCACCCCACTGCAACCCCCCCCCAACCACCACCACCCCACTGCACCCCCCCCAACCACCACCACCCCACTGCACCCCCCCCCCAACCACCACCACCCCACTGCACCCCCCCCCAACCACCACCACCCCACTGCACCCCCCCCCCAACCACCACCACCCCACTGCACCCCCCCCGCGCTGCATCATTGCTGCAGTGCATCACTCTCCACGTCACGTGGTCGCCCCCGGCCGGGCTAGGCCGGGCTCAACGCCTGGGGTCTTCCCGCCTGCAGTGCAGCTGTGTGCGCTTGTGGCCTACCTGCTGGACCGCAGGGGCTCAGGCCGCGGCTGCGTCAGACTTCACTCGCCGCTTCCAATCTCGTAGCACAATTTTCGTGCACACACACACACACACACACTCTAAGTTATGTACAATTTTGTACGAGACATCACAGTTGTTTGCGCACACGAAATTTTGAAACAATTTTCGTACGAAAAACTGCACATTTTCCGCCATTTTTGTCCAAAATTGTACAATTTTTTTTACAAATTTGTACGAAAAGTTCGTGCGCAAAACTGCGATGTCTCGTACAAAATTTTTACAAAAACATTAAGTGTGAAGTGACACGGCAAAATTTTGCAGTGTAGAGGGAAATAATTGAGAGAGGCCTGGTAGCGAACAAGCGAGCGGGCGGTGCGAATGAAACGAGGCGGCCGAGAAATGCGCGAAAGCCATGAAAGATTTGCCCTGGAGTCTGCTGGGAGTTGGACTTCCCGGAACGCGACGGTAAAGTGGGTCTCTGTTTGGCAGGTGCGGCGTGAAGCATGGAGGCCCGGCACGGCCTCGGCCGCCTCGGCCCCGACCAGCGTCCGCCGCGGCGCAGGGAGGCCGAGGCCCTCGCCGAGGCCCTCGCCGAGGCCCTCGCCGAGGCCCCTCGGGGGGCCGGCAGCGCCAGCAACGCGGACAGGCGGGCGTGGGGCACGGCCTCGGCCAGCAACGCGCCCAGCACGGCCCGCCGAGGCTGAAGCGCTGTGGGCGCCGCCGCTCTTACGCCGCAGAACGTGACAAAAAGACGGGGTAAGTTTCACTGAAAAACCAAACGTGGTCAAAAGGGTGCCATTTTGACCGCATCAGTTGGTGTGGTCAAGACCACGTTTGGTGTGGTCTAGACAACGTTGGTCTTTCGCACCAAATGTGGTCTAGACCACACCAACTGGTGTGGTCAAAATGGCACCCATTTGACCACACCGGTTGGTGAGGGTTAGGCCACGTTTGGTTTTTCAGTGTCGTCTCGCGCAGCACTGTTGTAACACAGTAAATGTCTTACGGTGAAAGGCTGCACCAATATACTATGGTGGCCCAGGCCCAGGTGGCCCGTCGTCGGGCCGAGGAGACCTTCCTCCAGGCGCCCCGACAGTTTTCCCGAATTGAACTGACGGCTTCTGTCAGTTTGACTCGCAGACATAGTCATATCTTGGATGATGTGAAGAGGGGCGGATCAAAACTAGGACGTGGACTACCGTCGCAAGAGAAACGGTTGAAAGCTCAGAGCACATGCAGTATCATATTTAAGGACCTGCGGTACTCAACTGAAAAATATGAACTAGCATTCAACGAATATTATAACGTCATATTTGTTTTAGAATGTGCATTTTTGTAACCGACGGGTTTTCGGTGTGTGTGTGTGTGTGTGTGTGTGTGTGTGTGTGTGTGTGTGTGTGTGTGTGTGTGTGTGTGTGTGTGTGTGTGTGTGTGTGTGTGTGTGTGTGTGTGTGTTCGGGAGAGCGTTATCAGTGGTACAGGCGCGGTCTATTCTGCAGCGCCCAGAAGTGCGCCTGAGTGGTCACAAAAATCTCATTCAACGAACGTTAATGAAAGCAGATGATACTCGTTTGGTTTTCTTATACGGGGTAGTACGCGGGATCATTCCAAAGATAGTATTTATACACTGGTAGCCAACGAATGTGACATCACATTCGTTTGAACGTGAAAACTACGATGTCAGATTGAACGTGACAAACAGAGAAAATTCATACTCAAACGAATGTGACACGCCACACCGCTTTGTCACATTACTTCGGGTGTGACACGAAATCAGCAGGCAAACTGTCACATTAAAACGAATGTGACACATGGTACCCATTGGCATACATCGTGTCACATCCAAACGAATGTGACACCCATACGCTGTCACGTTCCTTTGAATGTGACATGCCCGAATTGTCACATTCAATTGAACGTGACACGCCATAACCTGACACTTATGGCGTGTCCGGGGCGTGTCACGTTCGTTTTAATGTGACATAGGGCATGTCACATTCAAACGAACGTGACAGCATATGGGTGTCACATTCGTTTGGATGTGACACGATGTATGTCAATGGGTACCATATGTCACATTCGTTTTAATGTGACAGTTTGCCTGCTGATTTCGTGTCACACCCGAAGTAATGTGACAAAGCGGTGCGGCATGTCACATTCGTTTGAGTATGAATTTTCTCTGTTTGTCACGTTCAATCTGACATCGTAGTTTTCACGTTCAAAGGAATGTGATGTCACATTCGTTGGCTACCAGTGTAGATAGTATTTATTTATAGATAGTATTTATGAAACAAAATACACAGACCCGAGTGAGCTGGCCGGTGTTGGTACTAGCCGTGCCGAGCTGTGGCTTGCACCGCACGCCGCCGAGCCCCAGCGAGCGCCCCAGGCCGGGCCGAATCGGGAGGCATTGTTGCGCGATACTCCGCGCCGTGGCAGGCGGGGAGGGATTGTCAATGCGAGGAGGAGGTGCCATTGTTGACGCCCGGTGCCGCTGGCGCTGTACCGCGGAGGGATTGTCGAATTCCGCGCAGGCTGCGCCTCATTGCCAGCCAGCCAGCCAGCCACACGCACCAGCCCGCCCCGGCCGCCAGCCCCTATTATATTGTTAGGATACGCGCTTGGTTTCTGGACTCGAGAGTAAAAGCACGCTGACACCTTCATTTGTGTATAGTAGTTTTAAGTATGTTTCAAGTGTGAAGGTATCATCTGCTAAAAATAGTTGAACAATCGACTTCCGTCGAGGCGGTCCGTAACCTTGCCCCTGTGGGAGCTCAAAAGTGGAGCACTGATAAGAGGAGTCGCTCTCACTCAGCCGAATTCTCACTGGGCCGAATCCCCACTGGGCCGAAATGCCACTGGGCCGAATTGTCACAGAGCCGAATATGATCATGCTTGTGCTCTAGCCACGTGTCACTCGGCCGAAATCCCACAGAACCGAATTCTCACTTGGCCGAATGTGCAGACCATCTTCAAATGTGAGCGTTTCGTGTCACTCCGCCGAATGCTCACGGAGCCGAAATCCCACTTGGCCGAAAGCAAGCGAAAAAAAATGTCGATCCCATTCAGCCTCAATCCCACTCAGCCGAATGCTGCAGATGGAGAGCCGATGAGTAGCACTAGTTCAAAGGCTCACTCGTATGGTTGTCTAACAGAGCCGAAAGTTACACAGCTGGCGTTGAGCAGTACCTAAAACTAATGGGTTGCCACCCATCCTAACCTAACCTAACGGGCTCGCGGTAGATCTTACGCTACTCGCGACAGATCTTACTCTACTCGCGACAGATCTTACGCTACTCGCGACAGATCTTAGGCTACTCGCGACAGATCTTAGGCTACTCGCGACAGATCTTACGCTACCGTGCGAGTTCTTACGCTACCCGCGACAGATCTGACGTTATTCGCAGAAGGGTTTCGGCTGAATGTGAATTCGGCCCAGTGAGACACAATGCACAAACATCACCAAGCTTATAATTTCGGCCCTGTGGGAATTCGGCTGAGTGAGAATTCGGCTCAATGAGATCGCAGTCTTCTTTTACTCGTTTTCGGCGCAGTGGCATTTCGACGAAGTGAGATTTCGGCTCAGTGGAACAGTAAATGAATTAGTATTGTCGTGTCGGAGTTTCGGCTCAGTGGCATTTCGGCTTAGTGACATTTCGGCTCTGTGGGCATTCGGCTACTTGAGATTTCGGCTGAGTGAGGTTCTCCCGATAAGAGGCAGGACGAGGCAAACTCCACGTGAGGTGGGGAGGGTACTGACGGCAGCGGCGGACCCAGAGGGAAGTTCAGGGGGAAAGCAACAAGAGGGGAGGCGGTAGTAGTAGCAAAAGTTAAGCTACTTACAGAGGCAAAGTGCGACTCTGGCGACTCTGCCTACATTTCGGGCAGCCTTGACACACAGTAAAAAATCTACTAAGAATCCCTTCGTAATTCGAAGAATATGAAGGCATTGAAAAATCTACAAAGAAATGCAGGGCGACGAAGACAGGGCGACGAAAAGCGACTCTCCGCTGCCAACGTTGACGAGACGCGGTGGGACGGGGCGGGACGGGCGTCGCGGAATTCAGGTGGTGCCGGGAATTTATTTAATACACTCCCTGAAAAAGCATCAGGGAAGCGGGCCTGGCGCGTTCACGGCAGAGCGATGGAAGGAGCCCCAGAAACAGCGGAGCGGGTATGCGGAGGCCGAACGCAACATTTCAGACGCGTGCTCGAAATCAACAAATACGCCGCCAGCTCGCAATCGCAGAAAAAAGGTCGAAGGTTTTCATTTTATTTTACAGTGAGAATAATAGGAAGGTTCCTCACGAAGAAATATTTACTTGGCAACGAATTGACTGTAACGTAGCTCAAATTTCGTTGTTAGACGTTCAGAGTGAACTTCGAACCGATGCTTCGTAGACTTATTTTTCTGCTCTACCCCGTGGCTCGCATTTCTGAATTAGCTTGTCTTTTGTTATGTATATCCGCTATTTCCTGGCGTTTTTCGTTTCTTCGCTCGTCCCGCTGCTAATGGTGCTTTCCCGGGCGACTCAAGTGTCGCGGTCCGTCGGGCTGTCAGTGCAGCAACTGCATTGACGTCTGGTCTCTGTTTACGCCCGCGGTGGTTCTGCGTCCCCTCCACGCAGCACAGTAGGCCAGATGCCCGGCGGAGGCGGTTAAAAATTCCGGACGCGTTTTCAGCTACATAGTCAGTGAATGTGACTTGAACTGAACGCATGACCCCACCAATGAATTGCTCTCCGAACGAGGAATCCATTACTAGGGTCATAACGTTCGGTTGGAGTCCTGTTTAGCGACTCTGGAGCTCAATACGCGTCTAGAATTTTGGCCGCCTGCGCCGGTCTTCTGGCCCACTGTGCATCTTTTTCGGGCCACCTGTCCTGTGCAAGCAAACGCCCAAAGTGGCCCCAGAGCGCGGCTTTTCCACTGGCTGGCTGCCGCTGCCTGCAAAGCCAAAGCCACGGACGCGTCCCGCAAACCACGCCGCCACGCTGTCTGTCACGGCCCGCCGGTTCCGAACTATGGCGATTTAATTAAAAGTTTGTCCGCGATCCACTGGTCGCTTTTAGGCGGTGCAGTGTCAGCCCGAGCATTGCCGGTTCTCGCCATAACTCGGTTTCCCCGGAAATTTGTGGTTTTCGGTACATACACAGTTTTCTGCACTTTCTGCACTTTTCAAACGGAGATGGAACCGACGGCAATGGCATGGCATTTCGGAGCCACTGCCGGTATATTGGTGTCGGCGACGCCCCTTGAGAAACCCATGCAGGCCATGGCAGGCCCCTCGCGTGGCGTGCCGAGGTGGTGCCGTGGCGCCAAGGGCTGGGAGTGCAGGCAAGGCAAGGCCAGGCAAGGCCGAGGCGCGCGGCAGACGCTAACCTCACCTGACATTCACTCAAGGGTGAAGGCGTCGAAAGGCGCGCGGCTGTGCCGACGACCGCACCTTTATCAAAGGGCCACGGCACGCCAAGGCACGCCACGCCACGCCACTGCAGAGGGGCGGGGTACTCTACACTCTAAATATGTTGTACCGTGAAGATTCTCACTCTAAATGTCTTACGAAGAAATGTCCCACAATACGAAGGAAATCCCTTATCGGGGGGTCGGCCGGAACTCCAGCGGCGTGGGCTGCGCTGCGAATCGGGGCGGGGCAGGGCAGGGCGACGGTGCTGTGTGACGGCCAAAGCCGCGGAAACAGGAAAAACTTCAATCACGACACTCAAATTTACCAGGACTTGCGTGCACACCGCACA